TCTCATATAATTTTTTACAAATTACAGTTGAACCACTGATGTCACATGTTCTATTTTAACAATGTCCTTACTACGTTTCTGGGCCTTGAACATGCCAGTTCCGTTGCTGTCTATGCAGGGTCAGAAAGCTCTCGGATTACATCGAAAATATCTTAATTTGTGTTCTGAAGATGAACAAAGGTCTTATGGGTTTGGAACGACATGACGGTGAGTAATTAATGACAGAATTTACATTTTTGGGTGAACTATCCCTTTAATGTTTTGTTCTTGTACTTGATTCATTTAACTTATTTTGAGTATTGTGCAATGTGATTTTTCTTTGTTTTTTCTTTTTTCTTTGTAGGAGCTAAGTGCTTCCTGAAGCAGGCTGATTCCCTTATCGAATGGGAACTCGCATTGCGTCCCCTAGAGGACACTTTGGGGAACTCCATCAGCATGACCGGTGTCTGAAGTGCATGTGGAAACACGACAATGAACTTGAAATTGGCCTACCTTACTGGTGCGTCCACGAGTATAAAAGGGCACCTGTAGAACACGCCATTAGCTTTTTGTCTTCAGGAGCCATTTGTTTGTGTATGCTTGTGAGAAGGACGATATATACTTAAAAAAAAAAAAACCTAGGAAAGCATGAGTGAACGGAGATTTAAAAGATATGACTCACCGTGTGAAAGATTCCTCACATCCAGCGATTCCCATGAGCTGTGTGTGATGTGTCTGGGGGTACAGCATACACAACTCTCGAGGGAGCCGGCTGTGCTCACTGTGATTCTTTCACGGTGAAGCAGCTGCGCTCCCGCTTGGCTCTGTTTGCAGAGGACGGAAGCCAAGCGTCTGCGCCCCGCAGTGCTGGACCCACTGCTGCTGAGGCAGAGTGCCATCTGCACTCGTGGGGCTCGCAGTTAGATCTGGCTGACGAGCTTGGGGCCAGGTCTTTCCCTTTCTCAATCCTTGGTCGCCAGTTCTGTTGCTCTTGAGCTGGATCTGGAAGCCAGGTCTCCAGTTTCTTCCGAGCCGGCGGAGAGCATGTTACTTGGCCAGTCTAGCTCCGAGGAGGTAGACGTGACAGGAGACGAGGCAGACGCTATATCTCTACCCGCCTCCTCCTCGTCACCGACGTATGAGGAACTTCTGGACGTCATGACCCGCGCCACTGCCAGGCTGAGCCTGGACTGGTCGGCAGAAACGCAGGAATG